GCACATTCACACAATCACTTCCATCCACATTCTTTCAAATTCATTATTTACTATCCGGTCACTTGATTGTAGACAGTATGAGCTACTGAAAGCATCGTTAAATGAACAACACTGTAATTTGGCTGAACACCAAGGAGCTGAAACATCATAGTTCACACTTGACATGTTTTTGTGATGTTATTAGGTGTCTGCAGTCACTGCGCCCATACCATGGGTTACTGCTGCTGGTGGAATCCAGTGAACTGCTGAACCACCTGCCCCCTGATGCCTCACCTGCTCTGGTGCGCCTCGTCCGCATGTACAGCCCCCTCAAGAGCCTCCAGACCTTGGCTGCAGATGCTGACCTCACTGTATCCCAGGTGTGTGCACCCTGGAAGCTATGCTAACAGCCTAGCCTGTTTTCCAGTTCTCCAGGCATGAGTGCATTATGAGTCATATTTATCTGTTCATAGGTGTTCCAGCTGGCAGGCCACCTGTTGTACTGGGCCAGGGCAACTGTAATCTACCCATTGTGTGAGAGTAATGTTTATGTCATTGCTCCAGATTCCCCAACACATGTCAGCTCTCCCCTTATCGAGCGCTTCTCGGAGCATTTTCCAGGCATGAACCTTTTGCAGGTATGAAATGTTAAATTCTCATGTAACTGATGAATGAGTCTGTGGACCTCGCTGTCCTTCTCTTACCACGTTGAATACCAGATTTAAATACCTCATGCTATCCTCTGTTCATGGGCAGTTTTTTAAACTTCAGCGAAATAATGCATCCAAGAACAATTTGTATTGTCACTCACCCTTGACTGATTTGTATGAAACCTGGAGGGAATGTGTGTGAAGACACTTTTCAGTAGCACTGAACAAAGCTTGCATATACTAATATATTGAGTTGTCCTTATTGTATCAGCTACACAAGCCCTACAACTCCAAGTGGAATTAGTCCCTGCACTGACAGTTTTCTCCAACATGTCTCCACTGATTCTTGTTGGTGGATCAGAAGCTGCCCATCTTGTTATATTGGAGGGGCCAGCCTCTTCCTCTTCATCACTTGCTTGCAATGGTGGTCTTGCTATGAACCAGGTCTTTGCAGTGGAGAGGAAGAAAACCTCATAAGTTGTCTTATTTTTGGGATTTAGAACACGATAAATTTTAAGTAAATTGAAGAGCCTGCAGTAACCTATACATGAAG